GCTTGGTGACGTCTCCACACGAAAAAAACTATATTGGTATCGATGGTACGGCTACACCAGACTTCGACGGTACTTATTCCAATTAATCAAATTACTCATAATCTATAAGTATTGTTAGTAGCCTTTTATCATATTTGTTTTATTAACTTTATTAGGTAGTAATCGCAAGAGTGATTTGATCGCTTTTTATATAAATAAAATGACTTGTAACTTTTACAATAGTTTTCCCTCTCCTTCCTACCAACGTATCCTCGAACCAAGACCCGGACAGAAGGACAGTCTGCCAGAAGTGACTGACATAGAAGACGAGTAGTCTCTAATGCGGTGATTCTAATCATAGCCTCCTCTATACTGAGAAAACCTGGCAGATCGCCACGAGACGGGGCCGTCGAAAGTGAAAAGGTACAGCGGCAGAGAAGAAACATATAACGGGCGCCCCGCTGCGGCGAGACGCCGAAACGCACTTGCCCTGAGCGATGGAATGTCCGCTCGTGCCCCTCGCGTTCCTCGGGCTACCACTTCTTTTCTCGTCGCTTTTGAAAACCATGTTTCGGGTCTTCGCCGCTGCAAAAGCTGTGCGCTGCCTACAGGCTCCCCGAGAAATGCTCTGTGCTACTAGATCCTCGTGCTCCAAATCCGCGACCGGGCACTCTGCGGCTCCGTCATCGAACTGCTAGGCTTTGTGAGTATAGAGGAGCCTATGTTCTAATCTAATAATGGACAGTACGAGAGGACACTTTTAGCTACAGAAATGTAAACTTCACTTCCGCTAAAATTAATTTATTTTTATTAAAATGAAACAGTGCAACGATTTTCAGATTTATGCTTAATAACTGTGGCCGTTCTTTTATGTGAGTTCTAAAATAAAAAACAGAAATCCCTTTTCGCTTGCGTGAGCTAATTTCTGCATAAAATAATTAAACAAATTGAAGTTTTTGGTACTTATCATCTTCTACGCCGTCCTCCGAGCCACATGCGCAGTGGCATCACTCTGGTTGAACGCGGCGTTTAAACCGCGTACTCCCGAGTTACGTCTCGCTGAAGTCTTCGCTAAAACGCGGTGTTTAAGCTTCGTGTACTGATCGAAAGCGACGCTGAAATGTGTCGCTAAAATCTGGGAGTTTGTTTTTCTTTTTTTATAAATTTCGGTTAATAAAACGTTTTTTAAAACGTTTTTTGCGTTGAGAGCTTTTCGGTAAAACGAGTCACGTCGTCTTCAAAGAAGCACAAACCTATGGAAACAAAATGACCTGCCCATGAGAAAATGTATGTTCAGCCATCTCCTGCATACAAATGCTCGCTTACGAAACTGACGCACGTTCCCAACGTGAGTTTGCATCTAGCACTTGGAACCCGTCGCGCAGAACCCGTAAAAAAGAAGTCAGTCAGTTTTTATCACCCAGTCATTCACTCGTAGAACTTCACTGTGTCAGCGCTCAAACTTACTCTCGGTATTCCTACAATCTCCATTGCGATACAAAAAAAAAAATGTATCACAATGTTTCCCATTTTCATCGCGCTGTGCAACCTAGTTTGTGGAGACGCTCTTCATGCATGCACCGACCACAGTCACAGTTTGAAGTGTTCCCTAAAAAAAATTCCATAGAATTCCTCACCTCTTTTTTGCCTGGTAGGACTCTCACGTAAAACACCCTCCCCGAATCAGTTTGATTTCATCGCCAATTCTACTCCTTTTCGCTTAAGAAACGTCTCTTACACAAGCAGGTAGCAGTCTTAGCCGATTAGAACGCCAAAAAACGTTGCTCTTGCCATGAACGTGATAAGCCTCATGTCCGTTTCTGAAGCCGCGTACAGTGTTTCATGTTTTGTTTGTGTAGTGCACCCTTATGCCTTTGAGCCATTACCCCTTTCATGGCCACAGTTGCTTGCGGGTAACATTCCAAAGCATTTTTTTTTCTCCATACAAGTGTCGCCGGTAGCCACAAACGCAAGATGTAGCTCTCGAACAACTTATTATGTTTCACCTATAGTAACGTAGATAAAGGTGCGCGCCTCGTGCCTATCCTACACCAATTTTTTTTCGCTTGGGTATCTGAATGCAAGTATCCAAGTTGGATACGATTCTAAACATCACGCCCTGCAATGTTCGTTCAAAACTTTAAAAAAAAAAACGTATCTGAAAGTGATCTCCAATTATTAAGACAGATGTACATCAGCGTTGAATGTTTTACTAACGTACGTGGGACGTAAACTGTTCTTGCTCTGGAGCAACATGGGTCGTTCGCGTCATTACTGGCTCAGAGCATTATGGTTCAGAGTTACTCCAAAGCCTGCTCTTTTATTTTAATATACAGTGTGCACATTTAACGCAGTTGCTACTTTGTATACGCTAGTAGTGGATTTAGAAAACAAAGGTGCGCAGATGAAGGGTAATTACCATTCTTATACATATTTTTTTCGTAGCTTTTTACGTTCCTTCATCACTTGTGTCGTTTTCATTCATTGTGAGCCGTCGCCTGTCGTGGCAATCGGTCGCTTTCATTTAGTGAATAATTACATTCCTAATTGATACAGAATAGTTAATGAATAAGTAGAATATTTTTCATTAATAATTACATTACTAAGTGATACGGAATGAATACTTTAAAAATTGTTTTGTTTTCTTGTTTTTCTGTTTGTTTTTATACTGCCTATAAATGACTGGTACCAGACGGAATTAGATTATCTGGAAAAGAAAATAAAATTTCCTCCAACTGATTTTTATATTGCAACAAGAATCTGCTTTTAGGATTTACAATGAGCAGGGTTAATGAATGTCCAACGTTGTTCAAAAGCAACGGTACACAGTGGCATAACGAGCACACATATATGCCTATTGTTTTAGCAAATTGTTTTTTTTTATCGACCCAAAACTTTTTTTTGGAAAGCAGTTTGGGCACGAAACAGTTAAAGTGTATATAAATTTTAAAAAAAACATCGGAACTCACAAGGCTCGTCATTAGTTCGGACCTTGTTATGAGTATTTCTGTATTATGCTCGTTCGGTTAGTCGTGCGAGCTCCGCGAGACACACGAAAATTAACGACCTCTACGATGCCCGTGTGGGTTTTTTTCTTCTGTTTTTGATGCAGACGGCAAGTCGTTAAGTATGCCTCCGGATCGTCTCCTCAGAGCGAATGAATGCTCCTCGTTAGGATGAATCGGTCGATTTGCTTCGCGGCAGCGACGGGGTAAAGGGTTTTGTGAAGCATCATGCACGTACAAATGGACACTCAAAAAACCTTTCTGCCGCAGCAAAATAAGGATCACAAATATGAGCGACTAGGCTGAGCAGCACGCAGAAGATGAGGCTTGCGCCTCTGCCCCCCAAAACGTCATCACACCTGGATTCACGCAGGGCCGCCCACCTTGCGTCAGCATCGCGGAAAGTGGCATCATGCCGCGACTCACAACAAGCACGACGGAAGCAGGAGACGACGCCGATTCGAAGAGCGAGTTCGTCTGCTTCTTGAATCTGTTGTGGTGACGTCAGAACGACGCCGAGCTCCGATTGGCTTTGATTAAAAAGATGGTGGGCAGACCTCAATTTTAGATGCCTCGATGCCTAACCACTATGTTTTTTTTTTCAATCAGCCAATAGGAGTTAGGCGTTCTGACATCATTGCAGCCCCTGCTGCAAGAAGAAGACTAACTTGCACATCGTGCATAGGGACGCGTCGGTCGCTTTGCGGCCTCTCGCGGTGAGCTTCAGCGTACAGTACTCCTTGTTTGCCTCTTGGGACAGGTCGGAGATTCGCAAACGATGACGTCATGTCGAGGCCTTGCCTTCTATAGGTGGTAATGGACCGAGTCCCTCGATGTCTCCCTCAGGGAACTGGGTATAGTGGTTATACTCGAGCGTTGCGCAGTTCATGAGTTCTCGCGTGAACTAAAACGCGTGGAGCTCGAACGACTTGGAAGTAGATATCTGCATCCTATCGGTTATGTACGAATTATTTTCGAGGTGTTAGTTTGTCGTTATGTGGGATTACTAACATCTTTCTAATGCGCGGCCATTATAAAGTAACGGAAATGTGTGTTAGCTCTGTAGTCAGTGAAAGCTTGGCAAACCTGGAGCACTTATACTATCCGCGGTTTTAGTTTCGCGGTTCGTTCTTTGGTGTTCTTATCCTCTAAGGCCTAAATAACATCGGTTGTTGGGCGATAATAAGATAAGTTCTTAGTGATTATGCAACAAACATATACATATGTACACTAAATTACATTTATACGCTTTTTTTATTTTTTTCCTACTGCAATTGGGGTAGAGTTGTGGGGAACAGACAGATTATGTTGCTTTTTAGTTGCATATTCTTGTTATATGTAATATCTACTTTCCTTTTTTATGGTCCATATCTTATTTCAAAAATTAATCATCTGGTTGTTCGTAAAAATGCAATTTTTCTGCACTAATAAATTGTTTTCTTACTCGTAGTTTTCACTTTCTCCTTTATCTTTTGGATTTTGACATTATATTAAGGTTAAATCTAAACGACCAAAATGTTAAAAATCAAGCTGGTATCTTATCATATTATGAAACTGAAATCGAAAACCCTCTAAAAAAGCAAACATGCATGTCCCTTACCAACGCGCACAATTTTGATTATGTTCATTTGCAATTGCTTCTAAGCTAGTCATCAGACGGATTTTTTTTATGACCCTTATTTTTGTCAAGTATTCAAATAATCGCAGTCAAGTTTGATAAGCATTGCCAATAAGAGTGACCCGATATCTCTCAATGAAAGGAGTTGTCTGCATATACATGCCTTGCACGTGACTTTATCATTGCATGCTGGTCGTCATTTCCAATTGTTCCCGCCGAAAAAAAAATTCGGTGGCGCCAAGATGTATGTTGCAGAAGGTACGCCCTTAGCAGCAGGGTCACTACAGAGGCAGCTGGTGTGACATCAATGCAAGGCATGTATAGCAAAGGTGTTCATTGCGGAAAATAGACGCGCGATGTGAGCAACAATCATGGTCGTTTGAAAAGAAGTGACTCACTTGTCCACGTGTCAGCCATGTCCGCGTCAGGACTCCAGTACATCCACATCTGGACGCAGATGAAGGGCGACGAGCAGACAACGTACAGGGCGATTACCACCACCGTGATCTTGACCGTCTTGATCTTGGCCCTGGACAGTCCTCTCACCGAATGACTCCGAGGTCCCACGAAGCTGGAGTCCTGCTTGGTGCCGTTCTGTGCGGTACCCTTGAATCGATACGCCCGACTACCCTTCCAGGACTCAGCGTCCGAGCTCTTTCTCTTGAGGTACAGGTTCCGCCATATTGAACGACAAATGCAAACGTACGTGAAGCTGATGACCACCAACGGCACGAAGAAGACGGACACCCCGTACCACGTGACGTAGGCGCGAAGTCCCCACGGTTCGACGTAGGTCCCCCAGCAGTCGAACACTTTGGGAGATATCTCCTGGTAGCTGAAGATGAAGACCTGCGGCACGCAGCACAACAAGGACGCCACCCACGCGGCGGATATGAGAAGCTTCGACTTAGTCGGCGTCCATGAACAGTTGGAGAGGGGGAAGCAGATAGCCTGGTAACGGTCCGCGGCCGTCACAACGAGCACGTACGAGGACAAGTACGGTCCCAAAAGCTGTCCAAACTTAACTGTTTTGCAGGCTAGGTTGCCGCCTCGGAAGCGGTACGTGGCGTCCCAGCCCAGTTGTGGAAGGACGGTGAAGAACGCTGTGATTAGGTCTGAGACGCACAAGTGGAGGAGGAAATAATACATCCTGCTCATTTTCGAGCGCCGGGCGGCGAGGGCGGCGAGCACGGTCGTGTTTCCAATGACGGTGAAGGTGAAGATGGCCGTGAGAACTCCGAGCTCGATCTGGGCCAGGGACTCGTCTCGGGTTCCTGTCCAGAAGGTTTCGTTGGCTGGGACATCGTCGAGGGAATCTGGGAGGCTCGTGGAAAATGCTGGCTGGTCTTGATTGGCGACCAAGTCCATCGCTGTGCCGCGTGTTTCGTCCCCACCTGCGAAACGGTGATATCAGAGTTACTTGGGGGGTTCGAAAAACGGCACACGACTTGATTAAGAACAGACCCTTTTCAGTACCTCATCAAGCAACATTGGTGGTCGCCATTGTCTGGGCATGAGCATGTGATTAGATCCGAGTCCTCGTCGAACGCCGACGCAGCCCTAATGTCCAATGAATGCTTAAAACGCGTGCCCAAACAATGGCAGACTCGGCTCATTTGCCTACCAGCTACGAAGTGGCACGCACTCTTAAAAAGGGTCTATTGTGAACTTTCCTTCAAGGATGATAATTGTATTACGCCATTTTGTTTAAAGGACACATGCAAAGGAAAAAAACATTTTTTTTAAACAGCTTAGATGGAAAAAGGATGCCATAAAACGATTTTACAACGAAGAAAAACATTTTTTAGAGCTATATTTACGGCGCTATACGAATTTGTAGTTGGCGCTCGCGGGAGCCGCCGCTGGTCACGTGGTAGGCCCGCGCGCCGCCGCGCTGCGTCGCCGCCGCACGCTGAGCGTTCTGCGAACGCCGCTTCAACGCGTTTCTCCACGCCGCCGTCGCCGCCGCCGCACAAGTTCGTCTGCTTCGGGGCGCCGCCGCCGTCGTCTGGCCGGCGCACAGGTCTATCACGTCTGCTTGCGCTTTTTCAGGAGTTTCCTTTGGGCTTTAAAAGATACTTATTCATCTTAGTTTTTTGTTATACTTCAAACAAAGATAATAAGTTACTTTTAGAGGCCATAGGAAGCTTCCGAAAGAACGCAAGCACCACGTGATAAATAAAGACCAGTCACGTGACAAATACAGACCACTTTTCCGCGGTGCCCGCGGGCGCCAACTACAAATTCGTTTTGCGCCGTAAATATAGCTCTAAAAATTTTTTTTCTTCGTTGTAAAATCGTTTTATGGCGTCCTTTTTCCATCTAAGCCGTTTAAAAAAAATGTTTTTTTCCTTTGCATGTGTCCTTTAAGGCAATACCAAGCTAAGGACCACCTTGTGGAAAACTGCAGAACAACTGCTCTAACCGTTGGGATGGCAAAGGTTAGGTCACAGGAACTGAAAATGTGTTGCAAAACAAAAATTAGGACACGCCGGAATCTCGAAGGTATCCTTCAACATTCCGCCAGCCATTTTGACAACTCAATGTTTACAACATTTGTTTTTTTTACTTTTATGCAATTGAAGGTTGTTTTTTTATATAAAGTTACCGGGCGTATATTATCTGTAGCTCTTCTTTAGTTCATAATTTGAACAGCTGTACATGAAGTATGGAAGAACCCTTCTCGCTCTCATAGCAGTCATTGAAGTCTGTTGCGAGAGGGGGGGGGGGGGGGGGGGGGGGTGAAGACGGGAGCAGAACATGGGAAATCCTGGGCGCTGACATCGGCGTTCCCGAGAGAAAGAACGAGAAAGAGAGCAACAGAACTACCAAGAAAAAAAGCAGACGAAAGGTTAGGCGCGTTCATTTTGCCGCGACGAGATGAAATTGCTCGAGCGCTTATCAACTTTATTTAGTTTCATACAATGCGCGGTTCCGGTGTTTCTCTGCAAAGTAAGCTAGCAAAGCACAAGGTACGAGCCTTACCGTTCATGTATTGCTGCCTTTTTGTGCACATTAACTTATTAAGGCGTTGCCAACAGTGTGGGCCCATCGGGACCGACAAATTGGACCGCCGATGTCCGCGCCTATGCCCTGCTATTCCCAAGCGGCCCCCAGGGCATAGGACCTTTCCCTCTAGATTATTATATTAAGTCTATGCTTGTTGCAACACTTAAGGCTTGACTTCATGGGGCGAAAATACTGCGAAACATCGACGAATATCGCCCGGTGGCTTTCGCTATGCCCGTGGCATTAGCACAGTGGCTGCTGCGTCGCGTGCAAAGCGAGCGTGCCGCCGGGCCAAGTTCGTCTGTTATTTGTCGCATATTCGATTCATGGAGTTTAGCCCTGTGGCTTACCACTGAAATTAATCGCGAAATGGTAAGCACTATGAAGACGAGAGGCCGCAGAAGGATCATTTGGGGAACACATAAGTACCTCGCAGGACTGAGTTTACCATGCCCTGGTTTAGATCCAGAATACACCCTAATTGTTTCTTTGTTTTCTGTTCTTCTTTTTTTGCATTGATTGATTTTGTATAGGCGCTGGGAAAAGTGTGCATGGTTGAAAGCTGGGAAGCTTACGCATTGGAAGCAGACTCTTTGAATTAAAAAAAACCGCTCTCCTTAATTCAGGATAAATTTATATTTTAAATCAAAACGTTCTCTTTTTTTCAGAGAGCGTGGCTGAGCGTGCCCAATGAATCTAAGTGATTTGCTGTTCACGTGTTGTTGCGATGTAGGAGCGTGTACGCATTTAATGCTTGATTTCTGGAGCAGCGTACATTTGACGTTTTAACCCTGAAGGCAATGTGCAGATTTGACAACCAGGAAACACGACAACCGCCAACACGAGATACGGTGTTTTTTGCAGCCTCTTCAAACCACACCCTCTGAAAAGCCAATGGTGTCTACAGTCCCAAACAGAGCAGTTTAACGGCCACTAGGAACCCTAACATCGCCATGTTTTACTATCCAGAACGACTGCGAATGATTTCTAGGGATCGCCCTAAAATTATCAAGCTTGAAAACGCGTAATTGCAGAGAAAAACAAAATATTTTCAGAAAGCTTCATTTGAAACGTCCGCCCGAATCTATGATGTAGATAGCGAAACGGTGCACTCCTTGCCTATTATAGGGTGACTTCAAACGCCGGAAATGTCGTTAGAGTGAACTAGAAAGGATGAGTGAAACCACCGGAGTGCTATTTCCGAAGTTCCGCATGTGGAAACATTATTAGAGGGCGCTACGAGAGAAGTAGCTTGGATTTGCATAAACAAAGAGCAAACGAGCTCTACAATATAAGCTTTTGACCAAGCGCGCAGATAATATTTACCACAGAGTGTATTTTATCTGCCGTTTTTTTTAATGAAAAAATCGTTGCTTTCCAACGCCACTCTCGACCAGCACACAGGTCAAGGTCACAGCAACAATAGAGCCCCGGGCTATATTGTTTATGCAACCTAGACGTCAGACGGCACGTCGATGTATAACGTCACCGCTACCTGAGGTGTCGTTACAACGCCATGGGACCAGGGTGTCGAACCGGAACCGAACCGAACCGAAAACCGGAACAGAACCGTTATTTTTAGCCGAACCGGAACTGAACCGAACCGAAATCTTCGCCGCCATCTTGGAACTGAACCGGAACTGAACCGGAAAAAAATATAACGGTAACCGGTTCAAAACGGTTCGCGGTATTTTTTTTTTTGTTAGTATTACAAATTTATTATTTGGGAATAAAAAAACTGGCAGCTGTGTTCCTATATTGATCAAATCGTCATATACAGAATTGCAATGTATAATAAATCCTGGTTTTCTGCGGCGCTTTCTTATTGGCACTGTGATTAGCCATGTGTCATATCGTCACGTGACGTCATGATGTCAAGACATGCTTTCAAGTAATGTCACATCACGTGACGTCACGTGACTCACCACGTAGATTCAAATTAAGGACGTCGCTAGATCTATTAACGTTGTTGATACCGTGACGTCACATGACATCACAACTTCGCACTGAGAGTCGCGTGACACAATGGTGTACCCGATTGTCATGATCCCGAGTCGAATGCTCTGGTTCATGACAACCAGCATCGCCAAACATTCGGGTGACGGCTCGTGTTCAACTCAAAGATTATGATGGGCCCGAGTCCCACTAGAACTAGAAACAGAAACAAACGACAGCGACAAGCCTCAGACACATGCAGCATGTTCGCGATGGTACCTTTATACGGCTTTGAGTTCTTCGGTGCTCGAGAAGTTAGCACGAGCGTTTACAAGCCTGCAAATGGTACCATCGTGTGCATGATACTCATGTTTGAGCATAGCCTTCCTATTCTACGAAGCCTGTCAAATCGCGAAATACTCTGGTTTAAGGCTAGCCGCTGTCGTTTGTTTCTGTTTGTCGCTTTAGTGGGGCTCAAGCATTGTAGCCCAACTAAAACTATATCTGAAGATCAGCCCATGCTCTTTGCTTTGCCAACCCTGCGTATGACTATGATAAACACTGACGGTGTGTATATTAGGATCAGATCACGTGGCTGATAGTTCTAATTGCGAGTTGAGGAGGGGAAAGCAATTTCATTTCTTTCTTTCGACTGTCTGCCATTTCGCGGAGGGGCAAACTAATGGATGCTTTTGTAAGTTATCAACGTCAGAGATTACATTTTAGCGGTATTTATTGAACTTAAGGTAAAAAAAAGAAATGCTGCACGACCCATTTTACATGTATGCACACCCTTGAGGCTCCCAAACATGTTTTCGTTATTGCTGAACTGCCTCAAAAAGTTGTCCCGAGAATAGAAGTGTTAAAGGGTCTAAATGTGACGTATTAGTCCGACGTTACATGAAACTATTAGTGTGTACGGGAGGGATACCTGAAAAGAAAGATCCTAGTGGCCTCAGGGGGATCGCAGCCGCTCTAAGTCTCACAGGAGTGTCGTTCTCAAGTTCTCCAAGTTTAGACCGCCCTGTATTTTGTTTAAACTTCACAGTGTGGTGCAAAGTAAAAGCAAGGAAGAATTACTGTTAACAAGTGACACAAATATAATTGTCGAGTGAACACCACTCAATACGGAGCAGGCAATCCCTGAGGAACAAAAAGTATCTTGAGGAGCAACTAAAAAAAAAAAAAGGGAGTGGGGAGGGGGTTAGTTTTAAAGCATACTGTGTCGTAAAGATTCCTCTGCCCCGCATTTTCGGCGCAGACTACAAAGCATGGCCTGGAAACGGTAGTGGCAGATGGGTAGTTGGTAAAACCTTTATTTGTAAAAACACTCTTGCCAGAAAGCACGTTTTCTTCGTGCGAGTTACTCGCGCCGTGCCTAACGCCGATGCACCATCAAGAAAAATGTGTGCCTCTCAAATACA